AATTCTAAGAAACACATTGTTTAAAATGCATGAAAAAATTTTTGTCCACAATAATTTGACTATTCAAAAATTGAGTCCTGACTCCTAAAATGAATCCTCCTGTATGTAATGTGTTATGGCAATAAGAAGACAAATTAGACATAATGTGTATTACCTTGATCTAGTATAACAGGAGCAAAAGAACAGATCATAGTCCGTGTAACTGTTTACAGGTTGGCATGGGGTCAGATTACAGGTGCACCTCACTTTTACTTGCACATACATCTTTCTTTTTCATCATACTCTTCTGTCCTTCCAGTTTCATATTAGGTTGGCTAAGGAAATACTTTTAAAGGAAATGATTTTTTACCTGAGGCAAATGAAGGCTGGAAGGATATTCAACTTAAAAAAAAATCAAGTGGATAAAGTGTGGAGGTTTGAGAGGTAAAAGGAAACAGATCATACAGAGCCTTGTGAAAATGAAGGAAAGAGAGAAACGGGCAGGGAGGGACTAGAAGGAAAGGAGACAATGAAGAGTAAATTGAATGTGTGCATGTTATTTATACTCCTACCTTATTGTAGAAATGATGGAAAACTTACAACATCTAGTAAACACTACTGATGTTCTGCCTGATACTTTTTTCTTGACTTCCCCATTTTTCTACCCTATTCTTAATTTTTAACAGAATCTTGATTTTATCAAGTAGATATGGTCTTCTCTATGACCATGTATTTTAAGAGCAGTTGTCTCTGTCCCCATGTCTTGGTCTGTTCAGGCTGCTTTAACAAAATACTCTTAACTGAGTGGCTTATAAACAACAGAAATTTATTTCTTTTAATTTATTTCTTACTGATTGGAAGCAATCAGACAACTCATTTATCATGTGCTGACAGATTTGGTGTCTGGTGAGGGCCCACTTCTTTCTAGATGGGTATTTTCTCACTGCAGCTTCACTTGCTGGAAGGGGTGTCTTTATGAGGGAACTAAATAGCATTAATAGGGGCAAACTCTGCTCTCATGACATAATAACCTTTCAAAGTCCCCACCTCCTAACACCAACATCTTAGGAATTAGGATTTCAACTTATAAATATGGGCAAAAAGGACAAACATTCAGACCACAGCACCCACCTCTCATGGAGTAGTGCTCAATCATCTAAGACAGCTCTTGTTAGTGATTGGGTTAGACATGAACATTTGATAAGAATTTGACTAATTAGATTTTTAAAATATACAAGAGGAATAGATGACTGGTATTTTATCTTGATTTTATCATGTCTGATATTCTGGGAGCTTCTTGCAGTTGTCTTTATCCAGCCTGGGGATGAAGCATCACACAGAGGTGAGCAGAACTGAGAAAACCACATAGAAAAGAATCAAGAGCCCTAACATTTGGCACCTGGAGCAACTCTGATTCTAGACTCTCTTTTATAGGGAATATTCATTGTCTTCATTGCTTAAGCTTGTTAAAGGGGATTTTACATTAATTGAAGTTCATTTACCTGATTAGTTGCTGAAACATAAAATCCATCTTTCTAACAACAGCAACAACAATGAATTAAAAAGCAAGATAGTCAGAAGGGAAAATAGGTAGAAACCTAAAATGGAGCCTACATAAGATTATTGCAAAATGATATCATATGCTTTCACTTAATTAAAGGATGATATTAAAGAGCAAATATAGGCAGTAAAAGATCATTTTGATAAACAGCTACATAAGCCAAACCTTATTTTCAGTATGTCTGTGAGGTTGTTTGTAGATGAGACTAACTTCTGAATGGTATTCTGAACAAAGCAAATTGTCCTTCCTAATGTTATAAGCCTCATTTGATCAACTGAATACTTGAATAGAGCAAGCAGACTGAGGAAAGGAGAACTCCTCCGGCCTGACTGCTTGAACTGGAACATTTCCTTTAGACTTTTAACTTGGACTGAAATTTTAGTTCTTTTTCTATTAAGATCCATTTGGACTTGAACTTAAAACATCACTTCTCCTGATTTTCAGTCCTCTGGATTCAGACTAGAACTATCCATTGGCTCTCCTGGGCCTCCAGCTTGCCATGTGCATACCTTGGAACCTTGGCTTCCAAGTCTTGTGGGCCAAATCCTCATAGTAAATCTTTCTTTCTAGATACATCCCTCAAGCTCTCTCTTATTTTTGGAATTACATTCTGTCCCTACCAATTTGTAGATAAAAGATATTGGCCTCAAATTTCACTGAAGTATTCATGATCCTTTCTATTTCTTTTCTTGCTTTCTTCCCTGGAATTTCTTTCATCTTCTACATTTTTAAAATTTTGATGATATTTGGTTGGATAGCAGAAAAGGAAACTCTCATTTATTAAACTACTGTATATCTGGTAACTCAATTATTTATCTTCTATTTTATCTACACATATAAACCTACAACATAGCTATTAATCATTCCTTTTTATAATTAAGAACACTGAAATCCTGAAAGGTTAAATTGTCTTAATATCACACAGACTTCAGCAATAGGTGTTTGTATGTAAATTTTGATACTTTTTTGAATTAAAAGAGACTAAAGAGAAATAATTAGCTAAATTTAATGCTGCATTTTTTGCTCTAACCAGTTGAGTGAATAGCAGCACAAAATTGATAATGAGACAAACAATAGAATAGCACATGTGAAAATCAAAATCACCGAAACAGACCCATGAAAACTGCAGATACTAGAATTATCAGGTACAGATAAACAAACCAAAATCTTTAAAAGTCATTCTTCCTGTCCACCGATGCTCCTATATCTATTGACCATCATCTTTCCATTTTTACCCTTCCCTAATTTTATAAGCTATTTAAAATGCAAACAAATAATAATGTTTGAGATGATTTGTATGCTAATTATCTATATCTATTTGTATGCTAATATCCATATCATTAAATATTGTTTCTGTATACTGAAATATCACATCCTACCTCATAAGTACATTCAATTATTATGTGTCAACCAAAAAATTTAAAAATACCTTTATTAATTCCTTCTAAACACCCCCCCACACACACAGAGAGAGAGAGAGAGAGAGAGAGAGAGAGAGAGAGAGAGAGAGAGAGAGAACAACTTTACTTGCAATTTTCAAATAAATAAAAGCAAGCTTAAAAATGTTTTTATGGACTGAAAAATTCTAACTAGTGATATAGTGTATTTTAGTAAGAACCAAATGGAAATTTTAGAATTGAAAAGTATATTTTAAATTAAGAAAGGTTTTGATGGCAGATTAGACACAGCTAAAAAAAGAACTAATAAACTGGGAAATGAGTTGAAGAAACTATTCTGAATGCTGTATAAAGAAACAAAATGAAAAAGTACAACAGAGAAAATAAATGATAAAAGGAATAAATTCTTTCTAGCATTATTTCCTTCTAGTCCAAAATTAAAAATGAAAGAAAATGAGGTAGAGACAATATTGGAAACAGTAAGGTGAGACTGTATGATCCTCCCACAGACTCCTATTACTACTGGTAGCAATGCATCCTTTCAGTTACTCAGGCCAAAGCCTTTGACATCCTTGAATTCTCTCTTTTCCTATATCCAACACATCAAGAAATTATTTTTCAAAAATTGTAATTAATTTTAATTGATAAATATAAATTAAATATACATGTATTTATTGTGTATAGTATGCTATTTTGAAACATATACATTATGAAATGGCTAAATAAGTAATTCACATGTGGATTACCTCACATATGACTTTTTGCACATGTTAAAAACAATTTCTACTCTTTTATGAATTTTCAAGGCTACCACTGCTTTTTATTAAGTATTTTAGAGATCTCTTGAGCTTATTGCTCCAATGTAATTGAAAATTTGTGTTCTTGGACCAATAATACCTCTTAAGACCCTGGCAGCCACCATTTTGTTCTCTGCTTCTATAAGTTTTAACTTTGCTGAGATTCCACATATAAGTGAGAAACATGCAGTATTTACTTTTCTGTGACTGGCTTATTTTAATTAACATAGTAGCCTCTGGGTTAATCCATGTTGTTGCAAATGATAGGATTTCCCCTTTTTTAGAGGCTGGATGATATTCCATTTTGTATATATAACATTTTATTTGCATCCTTCTATTGATAGACATTGTTTAATTCCATATCTTGGCTATTGTGAATAATGCTGCATTGAACACAGGAATCAGATATCTCTTCATCATACTGGTTTCATGAAAGGTTGTAGAGGATTGCCAAAATGATATATATGCTAGCAGAAGTTATTTATAGAACATTTCCATCATTTTTCAAGTATTTTAAACATTCCAAAATTGTATCTCTGAGTTATTTTAATATAAATGTAAGAAGAAAATGTTACACTTATTACAGAATTTCAAGTGAAATTTTTCGTTACTACCTTGCCTCATATTAACCCCATCAAATACCCAACATAAGGGAAGATTAATTTAGATTTTGAAATTTCATTCATTTAGTTTTGACCAAATAAAATGATATGATTTTCTTAGGGTTATAATTTTGTTTGTTTACATTATAAAGATGTTTTAAAAAATGTCAGTTTTTCATTCAGGCTTCATTTACTGGCCTTCTTTTCTATAGTTTGAGGGATTTCAGGGAAAGTTGTTTGAGGAGTCCTGTGTTTGGGTTTTATGAATCACAGAGAGATAAAACTCCTACTTAATAAAAATGAATACTCATTGAAAGGTTATGAGGAAAGCTTTGGCCAGATCATATTCCTTTTAAGTTAAGGTAAAGTTGTAGTCATTCATGTAGTAGTTGCAGTCTTAAAAGTGATGATGTATGATTTGTCATTGTGAAATGAATGATATTAATATTCTTGGAACTATACTATGGGGGGATACTATTTTAACAGGAAACAAAACATTTGAAAACATTATCTTTAAAATGTACCAATGAGCATATTCCTCATCATGTTCTTGTAAAATTGATACCATAAGATGAAATCTCAATTCATATTCACAAAAGTAATTTCAGGTCTTAAAAGGTAAAATGAGTGATTAGATTCATGATAGTTCTATTTTTATTCCCAGATAATGCCTCTGAAGTAGCAATTACTGCTCCAGGAACTAGTAACCATAGAAACAGCTCAACAGGCCCAACACCTGACTGCTCACCTCCATCCCCTGACACTGCCCTCAAAAATATTGTAAAAGTTATTCGACCCCAGGTAAGTTTCCTAAATGGCATCATCTACATTATAATGTATTTTTAAATCAATGCATGTATACTACTTATATTGTAATGTTCGGACTATTATGATATGTAATGGATTTTTTTAATTAAAAGAAGGGTCTCACAAAATTATGTTTGCTTCCTTTGAAGTTGGTAATAGACACTGAAGTCTGTATTAGCTTTTGGAAAAATGAACCTTGTGTATTACAAGCATTAAAAGAGAAGTTCAGAAAAATGACTATTTCACGTTTCCCTTTCACAGCATTTTAATGATACTCCAATTATTGAGCTGTTGGTGTGTTCTGATGTTTTCCTCTTCTTTTGTCTTTATTCCTCTGAACATGCTGCATTATTTATGCTTACTTCTCTATCTCCTATAAAGAGATATTTTAAGTTCTCTGTTCCTTATGGCTTCTAACTAATGTCATTTGTGTTTGATATTGTGCCTCTCATTCTTCCTTATTTTTCTTCAGAGTTCACATTCCTTGCTAGTCTTTCTTTACCCTTTGTTTCCTTTTTCATTCCTGTTTTTTATCTGTATGTTTTTTTTCTCTTTCCCCTTCTCTTTCAGTTGGATTTCCCAGTAGGCGGTTTGCAGGCAAGCTTTAGAAATATCATTGGGACAAGCTGTTCTGTGATATTTCATTGAAAATAGCACTTTTAAAGCTGTTTGCATTATATTTTTGCCAACAGATGGACCTAGAACATGGAATTGGTGATGTTCTCAACCTGGCTCATTCTGAATGGGCATCATAAAATATAAGAGAGGGAGACTTAGGATCCAATCAATGCCATTCACTATATCCTGAGACATATAGTTTGATTAAATTTCTTGAGCCAATTTGTAGGGCATATGTGTCTTTTAAGTCTGTCTAATGCAGCAAGGATTTGTTTAGTATCTTACTTCTTTAATATATAACATTTTTATTTTTTTTTACTGTAATTCTTATCTTCATCAGTGAAATGGCATTTAAATTTCACAAATCCACTATAATTTATAGAGCTCTTTCATATATATTATTTCATGTGATTTTCACCAACTCTAAGGGAACTTATATTCTAGTGTTATGTAGAAGGATATTGGTGCTATAAAAGGGCTAAATTGTCCATAAAGTTCTTTTGTTTTCCTTTTGACTAACAGCTATCTCTGCCAGTCCTGTTCAGGAGTTTAAAAAATCCTCATGAGGTTATGCACCTTGACACATGTTTATGAGTATGTAATTTACAAGTTTGGGGTGATCTAGGCTCAGATAACATTATACAGTTCCCTAATTACATTGTCCTATATGTATTAATAAAAATAAACTATTTAACATATTTACTTTTATGCTAATATAAATTCTCTAATGTCAATGTATTTTATCATTCAATGAATGAAAAGCAGAATCTATCTTTCTCTGAATATTTTGTTTTTGTTCAACTTAGCTTATTTTTGTAAACTTTGAGGAAAACTAGAAGTAATTTTAATGCCATCTTGACTCTATTCCTTGGTTCTGTCAGTTATTAAATATTTATGAAGGTAAGTAACTTTACCTTAGTAGTTGTATGATGATTGAGAAGGAAAACAAAAAGTGGGAAAGTTAAATAATTCAGGATAGTGGTATTTAAATTTAAATCAGTGCCATGTGTAAGCATTACATGTAATAGAATAATAATTTCTAACATGTATAATTGGGAAGGAGTATAACTTCACTTGGGCTACTGTCCCTTCTGCCCCAAAGACTTTGTGCATTGCTCATTTCTCTCTATGACTTCGAACCTCCTAAAGTACCTCATTCATTGTAGAGAGAAAGGAGGAGAAAATACACATGGAAATAATTAGGAGGGAGTATTAAAATAGGACATAGGATTTTAGTAAAGGGTTTAGAGATCAGAGGGTGTAGATGAAGAGAGGTATGGATAGAACAAAAGATTCTGATGTGTTATGACAAATGATATGGGTGTGTCAGGTATGAAAATGTTGAGAGCTACTATTTAAAAAAGATAATTGTGGTTACCTCATATTAGAGCCTAAACTCTGGTTACTAGTCCAGTCCTCTAAAGTGTTCTCTAATTCTGGATTTCTGTCTAGAAATTCAAGATATGTGAAGTTAGATTCACTCCTGGCTATTTACTAATTGGAAATTAATAACATGATTGAAATGATGATTTCACTTTTAAAACTGGTGTTGAGGTTTGAAAATAAAAGTATGAATGCAGATCTTCAAATTTACATTGTCTTACCAGGGAATTAGCTGATGTGTTCAGACTTTTAATGTGGAAGGAATGATATTGAAGAGATATTGAAGAGATGAAGTCCAAACTTTTTATCTTATTCACTGAAAATAGACACTCCTTAGGTAGAGCAAGTTGGGCTACTTCCTCTTTGCTTCATGCATACCTTTATCTAGTTGTTTCCTTAATTTTACTTCTAAATGGAATGAATCCATTATAACCAAATAATTCTTGCTTTTAGAATGAAATGGGACTGATTATACATTGCAAGTGTTTCTGATTAGTGTGTTAATTGCTTGGAAGCTACAGACTTTCCAGCACTTTGTTGAGTTTGTTTTTATTCAGCATATTTGTTAACTCACTAAGTCACAGCTGTTAGTTTTACATCCCATGTTTGATCTTTTCACCTTTGTTTAGTTGGGCTCTTTCGTGTCTTAAAATCCTCCAGATTGTGAATTATTATATTTTTAATTAATAAGAGACTGAAATATTTGTATGCACTGGTTTCCTCTTTGTTTTTCTCAAGAATATTAACTCACAAGGATGAGTTTCTCTATTTAGAAGAATCCATTAGACTGGGTTCATTTACTTATACTGAAAATTATTTTACCCTTGAAAAAAATCTTTGAAAATCCTTGAAATATTATTTCTGAAAAAGGTATTAGGTAATTCTATTGACATACCAATTCTCTTCTTTGAATTAAATAATTATATTACTTGAGTTACCTTTTTGTTTTTAAATCGAGATATAAAATTGCATTTATCATACACAATAGAAAGTTTTTTATACACTGTATACTTTGTGAGATGGTATATCTAGTTAATTAATAAGTGCATTATCTCTCATAGTTGTTATTCTTATGGTAAGACTTAATAAAAATTCCCTTAGCATATTTCAAGTATACAATATACTATCATTAACATAGTCAGCATGCTGCACAGAAAATCTCTTCAACTTATTCTTCCTATCTAACTATATATGCATATCCTTTGATCAACCCCCTCTTCCTCCTATCCACTGCATCTCTGGTAACCACTAGAGATAAACTTTCTGTGCCTGGTTTAACATCACTAATCATCAGGGAAATGCAGATCAAAATCCACAATGAGATTTATCATCTCAATCCTTTAAAATGATTATTATTGAAAAATTGGCAAGGTTATGAGAAAAGCAAACTCTTGTACTCAGTGAATAGGAATGTAAATTAATACAATCATTATGGAACTATATAGAGAGGTTCCTTAATATATATGACAAAACTGCCTTAAGATCTAGAAGCTACTACTTTGTGTATATCCGAAGGAAAGGAAATCAATATTTCAAAGATACTTGTACTTTATTTTTATTGTACTACAATTCGAAATACCAACATATAGAATCATCTGTCCATCAGTGGATGAATGGGCAAAAAAAAAAATGTGGTGTGTATACACAATGGAATAAATTTTTACCTTAAAAATGAAAAAAAATCTTGTCATTTGTGACAACATAGATAATTATAAGTTAGTGAAGTGAATCATTCTTTTTATTTAAAAAGAATGTTTCCTGCTGAACTATTTTCTCCCAGTTGAATAGCAAGATACACAGATTTTAAGTATATGGTTTGATACTTCGACAATTGTTATCTGTAGTTGTAACCCCACTCCAAGCAAGATATAGAGTGTTGCCATCATTCCAGAGAGTTTTCTAATTCTCTTTCTAATTGACCTCATTTTTGCCTCAGAGGCAAGTATTTCTGATTTTAATCACTGTAGGCAAGGATTGCCTATTTTTTAAAAAAATATTTACTTTTCAGTTTTTTTAGGTGGACACAATTTCTTTATTTTATTTTTATGTGGTGCTGAGGATCAAACCCAGTGCCTCATGCATGCCAAGCGAGCGTGCTACCACTTGAGCCACATCCTCAACCCCAGGATTGCCTATTTTTTGATTTTACATAGTGGTATTCCACAGTGTGTTTGTTTGTGTGTTCATTATTGTGTAGTTTTGTTTAGTTTCTTCCATTAAAAATATTTTTGAAATTCGTCCATTGTTATTCCTGTTTTTGCTGAGTAGTATTCCATTGGATCAATATACTACAATTTGTTTATTCATTCTGCTGTTGATTGATAGTTGTCTTGTATCCTGTTATTACCATTCTGCATGAATACAAAATGCAAATTTTTTATAGCTACACTCTTTCATATAGATCCCTAAGAATGGAGTGTTTGGGTCAGGGTGGATAACTTTTAGAAAAAAACTTCCCAACAGTTTTTCAAAGTAGCCATTCCATTTTATAATCATGAATAGATATAGAGTGAAAGTAACTGAATGAGAATCTTAGTTTCTCTAAATCCAGGCTCTAATTATTTTTTAAATTTTAGCCATTCATATGAGTGTGAAATGATTTCTCATTATAGTTTTATTTTGCATTTTTCTCATAAGTACTGATTCTAAGCATCTTTTTCTGTGGTTATAACCCATTCTTGTATCTTTTTATGAGATGTTTATGTTCTTCTCTTTCTTCATAGGATTCTTCAATTTTCTAATCTAATTATTTACAAATAATTAGATTTTCTAATCTAATTATTTACAAATTTTAAAATTCTTTGTGAATTTTCTGATGATTCTAAAAGATACAGATCCTTTGTCATTTATAAACACTGCATATATTTTCCCCAGTCTGAGGTGTGCCTAGACCTTTTTTACATGTCCTTTGATGGGAAGAATGTTTTAATTTTGATGAGATCCAATTTATCTTATTTTTTCTGTTATGACCCCCCAGTCTTTTATTGTTTGTC